ACCTGTCATTCTGCCTGGACTAGGCAGCTGGGAACACTGGGGCACTGCTTTCTCCTCTGTAGTGCCAGTGCATCAAAAGAAGTATCAGAATAAATGGAAATGACTCCTTGATCCTGATTTGCTTTAAAATTTCAAATGGTACCTATCAGACATTGTCTAGGTTGTTTAATGTAGTCTGTAATAGCCTACAAAGGCTGTATTTGATAGTCCTTATAAATGAATCTATAAGGACTAATTTTAAAGTGAAATTCTATGTTGGGAGGCTGAAAATAAATGAATGTACTTATTATGTCAGTTTTGTGGACCCGAGTGGCTGTTTTTCCAGCAGCTCTGCTCTCCTGTACCTCTTGCACCCTTGTTTCAAGAATACAGGAGGCTGGGAGTAGCGGCATGTCTCCCTTAGTGCATTGCGTCATGGAACGCAAGAGGGAGCTGAAAGAGGAAGGAAAAGCTTCCGCCCCAAGCTTTCCATGTAGCTGGATGTTGAAATTAGAGAGCTGGAGCACAGCAGCAAACCAGCCCTGCCATTGGGCTAGAGTCATGAATTGCTTGCCCTTTCTTTGCTTTCTGGATGGTGGAGGGGTTTTACTTATTTTCCCATATACGCAGGGTGGCATTTGCATTTTGAAGTCTATTGGTGTGTACTAGCAAGCTACACAGGGGCTTTGATCAAGCAATGGGTCCATAATGCCTTGTGCTTGGAGAAGTCTAAGGACTCCCTGTTGGACTTCTCTTATAGTAAGAGGGAAGGATGCAAAATAGGTTAAATTGAGAAGGGACCCACCTGGATCGTTTTCTCAGGGGAGGAGGGCTCCAGGCTAAAAGAGGATCCTAGGTACGAGAGGTGCATAGGGAATGTGCTTCCCAAGGGCAGCAGGATTATCCACAAAGACCAGGCATTTCCTGAGCTATTTGGTAGCCACAGAGATCAAGGATGGAGCTTTTGGATGGGAATGACTTGATTGCTGAGTGAAGTGCAGGATGGAGGGGTCTGGCAGGTGAGCTTGTGTTGATGGCTTCGATCCAGGGACCGGAATAGCTGCTTCGTTCCCCTCTGGGCTGTGTAAGGGCTTGGAGTCGGCCTTTGCACAGAGGTCTTTGGGCCCCGATCGGCGCAACTCGGGCAACATCAGTGGGGAAGGGAGGCTGGCAGCTTGCCGGGCGTGTGATGTTGTTAAATTGTAAATGAGAAAGGATCCAGACAGCTGCGCTCCGCATTGCAGATCAGCAGAAGAGCCGGAGAGCTGTCTCTGGTCGTTGTCAAAAGGCAGGCTAAAGATTCACAGATGGTGGAGGTGGTGCAGTTAGCGGTCACGTCCGTGCGTCTTCATGGTGCCAGGGGAGAGTGCTGGGGAGGCAGCAGCAGCATCAGAAAAAAAAATCCCAAAACCCAGTTAAAAACTCTGTAGGGCACTTGGCAGGACTGGGGAGATGAGCAGCTCTGAGGTGAATGAGTTTGGATTTTTTTTTTTAAGAAGAAAAGGAGTTTTCCAGGGGTGACTCCAAACACTGCAGTGTGACGCTGCACCTGGACACGTGGGTCACGCTTGTTTACGTAAGGGGCTGGCATCTCCAGGAGCTGGGTATCAGTCACCTGCTGACCTGTGCTGTGATGCTGTGAGTGTGCAAAAAGCAAATTTGCTGGTGATAGGGGAAAAAAAAAAAATTTCAGGCAGTCTGAAAGGACAGCAGCAGTCCCCTTGCAGAATTTAAGTCAGAGGGTAACCTTGGATTCCTTCAATCATTGTCTACTTCCTAGTTTTGTTTGAAAGGACTGTATCTTCATAAATATGCGGCTTCCCCACTGACTTTGCAGTGACAACTAACACTTCTGTTTCTGAAGAGTTATACGCAAAATGTGAAGACCTTTTAGGGAGTTTAGACTGATGCCCCTTTGCTGATTTCAGTGGAGGCCTGCCTGTATTCACCAGGTGTGGCTCAAGCAGGTCTTCCTGAGAAGATCTAATAGAGAAGTCCTGTGAAATAGGAGAATACGTACTCTGCAAGCAAAGTGGGAGGAAGGGGACTGGGTTGCCAAGGATTTTTGGAGCAGGATTAATCCCTAGATAACCACCATCCATTTGGGCTGTAACCACTGGATTGTGTTCCTAGGAGCCAGTCTTGGTCCAGATGAAATGAGTTGGTCTTGGCTGTGAGAGAAGCAGCTTCTGTATCAAAGAACTACTGTGAAATCCAGCTTCTTCTGGATTTGACCCGTTGTTAGTAGCAGCTAAAGCCTAGGACAGATGCAGGGAAGTGATTGTACATCAGATGCAGATGCACAGCCGAGCTGTTTCAAGAAACTGGCATGTAGCTCTCCATGTTCTTCTGCAGAAAAGATGTGTTGGTGCCCCAGGGCTATCTGACAGCACTGCATTGCCTTGGAATTTTTTTTTTTTTTAATGCTAAATCGGTACAAATCTCAGGAGAATGACTCAGTTAAAGAATCAACAAAAAGATTCTTGTTGATACCAGTGGGCTGGTAAATGCAAGTTTAGGCAGATGGTCCTTCTGTGTTGCATCCAGAACGAAGCTGGTATGAAGAGTGACCAGCCAGGGTCAGTGCTAGCTCGGGTAGCTTGGCTTCATGCAGCTTCTCTGCAGTGCAATCGTGCCTGAACCCTTCCACCTGTAAGAATGCAATAGTGGCCTAAAATACCTCCTAATTCCTTTGCTATAAGAAGTCAGGCATTAGGACATGCTTGCCTTGGTGTAAGACAAGCCGTGGCAGGCTGAGAATCCAGGTGGAGGTACAGCCTGCAGAGAGGCTTATCACCCGTCGGTAAACGTGAGGAAGAAAGATCTGTTTTTCAGGGAGACCAGCAACAACTGCACAGACGTCTCTATACAGCAGTTTTGTATTTGCCACTTCTACAGCCCCAGATCTTCCTCTTCAGAATATGGGAAATACTTGAGCTCTTCGTCAGTGACATTGTGTTTAATGTTCACAGTTTGCTGGATTAAATAGGCTTGTTGCTGTGGGGAAATATTTTTGTCTGGCCGAGGATCCCCATCCTACCCTGTCATCTGTTCTGATTATTGTAATAGCAGTTTTTAGAAAACACATTGAAGTGCCTGCTCATGAGTTGTGTTACCTTTCAGAAGTCATCTCCGATTGCTCTGGCTTGCCATGGGTCTCGCTGGTCCATCATCTCTGCAGCTGTCAGTCTCACAGCGGTGCTGTGCAGCTTTATTAAAGCTTTCCCTGGGGAGCGTAATGCTGGACTGGCTGAAAGCCTCATTCTCTTGCCTGAGGAAGTCAGGACTTCATACTTTTGTAACTGTTAACTGTTCCAAAACTTGCCTATTTAGGAAATTGTGGTGTGCTACGAAGCTAGACCTCTCCTTATCTCATATTCTGGAGCGGAAAACAGATGTTGAGAAAGCTAGATCCAAAGCAGAGAGCCTACAGACTTGTACTTGGTGCCTCTGCTGTACTTGGAGTTCAGTTTCCTTTGCAGCAGGATACAAATACCGTGTTAACAGATTTTAATGACTACAGTGAAGTAAATCCCAGGGCGCACTTTGACTTGCAGCGGTGGGTCAGATGGCTGTGCGGCACAGCGCAGGGAGGTGGGGGCAGGGTAAAGCTTTTAATAGCTTTAATAGCCTCAGTGCTGCCTTTTTTCCTTTTATTTTTTTAAGAGGTTAAGTTCAGGCAACTTTATCAGGAAACAGTTAATTGTGTCTACATATAAACAGGAACCTCTTAGAATCATTTAGGTTGGAAAGGACCCTTAAGATCATTGAGTCCAACTGTTAACCCAACACTGCCAAGTCCATCACTAAACCATGTCCCTAAACACCACCTGACCCATGTCCCTAAGCCCCACATCTACACATCTTTTAAATACCTCCAGGGATGGGGACTCTACCACTTCCCTGGGCAGCCTGGTCCAACGCTTAATAACCTTGTCTGTGAAGAAATTTTTCCTACTATCCAATCTAAACCTCCCCTGGCACAACTTGAGGCCATTTCCTCTTGTCCCATTGCTTGTTCTTGTCTATTCTTGATGGAACTGAACTAGTAAGAGACATATTTAATTAGTCTTAATGAAATACAGCATGAAATGTAATCACATGCATCCCCCTAACAGAAAGCCCTGTAATTGGCAAGTGCTGATTAGGATTAGGTCGTTCCTGAGGAAGGCTGCCACATAGCTCTTCCTCTTTTGCAAAAGCAGCAGCTTAAGAACAATAAGGAAAGGAGGGGGTGATAGAATTTAAAGGAAAAAAACACCCACAAAACACCCAAACACAAAACCGTCTCAGCTGTGGGTCAGGGTTGGCAGCAATTCTATGATTATTGCATAAAGAAAAGCAGTAACTCCTCCAAAGACAATATCCAAAGCTTGAACAGCTGATCTTGAGTTGTACCCACATGTTCACTGTCAGCTCAGATTAACCAATTGTCAAGTTATTAACTGCTTGAGAGACTTAGCTACTTAATTTTGAAAGTGTAACCTTCAATAACATCAGGGGTAGTTGTAGCTTCTGCCTGTGTTGTAATTGCAGTGGCATTTTCAGCTTCAATCAATTCCATGTTCTTGCTGTTACCTTGCTTTGGGCTCTTAGGCAAGTGGTAAGCAAAACTGGTATTTGACAAGATTCCTAAAAATTGCTTATGATACAGCTTCCCCCCCCCCGCCCCGTTAAAAAGCCTTGAAATACTAATTATGATGGCATTCACCAGGTTTGCCAATCAGTAAGTCACTGCTGCTGCCACCTAGGCTGCATAAAGAGGAGAGGACGGGACTGGAGCCTAGTTGACTTAGTATATGTATGTGTCTCGTAAGAGTACTTGTGGGTTTTGTACCAAGGAGGGCTTTTGAAATCTGTGTCTTCAGTCACAGTAAGACAGCATGAAAAACAAAACTGCTTTCTTAAAGTGTTAGGAACGTAGACTTAATCAGGAATTTAATATAAAAACTTAAAAAAAAATAAAATACCATGTGAGATGTCCCCTGCAGCAGTAAAATGAACACATTACAAAGAAAGTCTGTGTTAATTTGCATGTATTGACAAAAGTGCCACAAAAATTTGAAATTCTATTTGTCCCTTTGCAAATTCATAAAAAAGCATGATACAGAAATCTATCCATACATAGCATAAGACTTTTACAGGTAAGACATTTGTACATCCATTTAACCTCAGGTGACCCACTCAGGAGAATGCTGATTTTTCTACTTTCCATTTTCAGCACTGAACATTCGCTCCTAGAAAGAGAGAAGTAAACATACAGCAGCTGAGTAAGAGTTTGGGAACCGGACTATGCTTTAGCAACACGGGCTTAAGTAGTTGTCAGTCAGCAAGAACGAAGACCTAGATCAGGTATACTTGGTGCGTATTCTGCCCCACAAAACACACAGTTCAGTTCATCCCATTTGAAAGACTCTCCATAAACTGACAGAAAACTTTCACGTGGCTTGGCTATACTCGGCGTATCTGTTCTTGGTGCCTCCTAGTGCCAAGTGCAAGCATGATTTATCTCTGGCTCACTGTCTGAAGATTATTTATGTGTCTTGTACCACTGCTGACAGCTAACGAGTTTAGAATTAGACTTAGGGGACTTTTCACTTTGACAGTACTGTTATCTTGATTAGCTGCCAATCTAAACACTGCCTTGGGCCTCAAGCAGCAGGTGTGGCTGCATACCCTTCTTGAGATGCAGTGAAGTTGACCAAGTTTACTTAATTTAGGTGGCTGGTTTGCTAGCTGCCTGTCCTACTTAACATGTACTGTCTGTAAAAAAAAAAAAAAAAAAAAAAAAAAAAAAAACCCAAAAACCCCAACCTGATCGGACTTGCTTACAGGTTCCTAATCCTTAGCCATATCACAAGGAACTGTGGGTTAGCTGGAGTGCTTGGGAGGAACATGAGAGGTGGCAGCATGATATAACTCCTACCTTTAACATCCTCTCCAGTTTAATTGCATCTGCAGCAAATTTTCTGATCCCATCAGATAATTTCTCCACAGCCATTTGGTCTTCGTTATGGTGCCAGCGGAATGCCTTCTCATCCAGGTGGATCTTCTCAAGCTCACATGCCTGAGCTGTGCACGGGGAATTGAAAACAAAACAAGCCATATTATCAGATTATTATCAAATACCACAGGCTTTCTGAAACAGTCTCAAGCTTCTGACCATCTCCAGCTGTTGAAAAATTTCAAACCCCACTTTCAACATGACTTGCTACATGAGCACGCTTTGGGCTGCAAGACTGAAAATGCTCCTGATCGGGTGGTGGGAAGTCATCTAAATAATCAGTTTCTCTTAAAATACAATGTTTACGTGTATGCCATTATCTTGTATCTGCTTCTGAATGGTACAGTACTTTCAGGCCTATTATCAAGAATTATGCAACAGCCCTACCACAGTGAGACATTCTAAACAAATATGCTGAACAATTAGGGCTTTGATTATTTGGCAGTACCTAACAAAAGCTGAATTGATAACATGCCTACGAGCCAGCTAGCACCCCATAAGCAGCAATCCATGACTACAGCTGTGCACAAATCTCATCTTCCGAGTTGTAAAGTAGCATTTTAATAAGGCTAGAGAAGAGCAAGAGTAGCGCAATAGGAATATATTCAAAAGCATTGTGGCCCATTATCACTAGATCAAACCACTTAGTCTTGCATATGATTAATTTCTGGAGGGAAAACACCTTTGGCATGTCCAGAGCTAATTGCATCACTGATGCAACATTAACATAAGATTAAGCCAGGCTTGGCATCTTGGCTAATATGCAGTAAAACTTCATCCCAAGTCTGTGATGTATAAAGTTCCTTCTGCTCTCCCTGTCCTCTCAGGAGAGGGTACACAGTATTTAAGCACACTCAAAACCCACCGTAATTCCAGTTAGCGTACTCGGTGGGACCCAAGACCCTAAAGAAGCAACTGTGTGTCAGCAGCTGGAGCGGTACTGTTGTAATCGGGCTACCGTATTTCCATTGGAGAGGGATCAATGTTTATCCTTAAAGCAGAATGGAAGCAAGCACCACAGAGCTGAGGGGAACCACATACTCTTAACGTTCAAGAAGAAAGGGAGACTGAGCAAGTCCATGTTACACAGAAGTGGACTTACCCTCTTTTACGCTGAGCGTGGGAGTTAACTTGACATACTCTTTGCTGAGCTCTGCCAAAAGCTTGGGTGAAATAGTGAGATAGTCACAGCCTGTAAGCGCTTTTATTTCTCCCGTATTTCGAAAGGAAGCACCCATCACGATAGTTTTGTAGCCAAACTTTTTGTAGTAGTTGTAGATCTTAGTGACACTCTTCACTCCTAAAAAGGAGAAATCAGCAACTTTCAGAATAATTCATTTGAAGTACAAATGATTATTTAGAAGACGCTCAGAACCAACATTTTTTCATTAAGAGGATTTATACAAGTAAACTGCAGTTTGAATGAGGAGCTACTATATTTTTAACTATATGTTAAAAGGAAAGCTTACCTGGATCCTCTGAAGGCTCGTAGGTTTTCTTATCTCCATTTGCAACATACCAATCCAGGATACGTCCTACGAATGGGGAAATCAGAGTAACTCCAGCTTCAGCACAGGCAACTGCCTGCGCAAAGGAGAACAGCAAGGTCATGTTGCAGTGAATCCCGTACTCTGCTTCCAGAACCCTGCAGACACAGGCTGGCTTAAAACAGCAGTTGGCTCACCTACTGAATTTACATTCTAGTAACAAGCTAGTAGGTTAAAACTACTGAATTTCTTGAGTTAAATTAGGAATGTGGTACAGTTTATAAGCTTTAAAGTTTTAAGCTAACAGCCAGTGTTTTGTGCTGCCGAACTCCGCTTTATTTAATGCTGTTCCTTGAACCAAATGCAGACAACTTAGCATGGTATTTCAGGAAACTCTGTTTGTGGCCTGGCCCTTGCATGAACAAACTTTTCCTATTTCAACAGAAAGCGGTAGCAGAGCACCTTGCTTGCTAGCTGTAGTGCTAGTAACACATTTCCTGGTGCAAGGCTTTCAAAAGAGTTCTTTATTTTAAGTGCAGAATGTGTTTGTCAGGTGCCTGTGAGCAGGCAGAAGCATGCTATGAATCAGCCTACCAGGTAGAGAAACACTTACTTGCCAGCCTGGATTCCTTCCCATGTCGAAGAGAGCTTTATGAGAATACGATCTTTACCGATTCCTGCTTCCTTATAAAGGTCAATGAGGCGCCTGGCCCTCTGAATCATTCCTTCCTTATCAAAGGACAACCTTTGAAACAAGAGCAAGACTGCTTAAAACTATTTTTTTTTTTTTAAATGCTTTCCCGCCCAAACCCCATTGAAAAACATCGTCCATTTTATCAGCATTCATACGCCAATAGCAGGTTTTTGTTCTCAGAGACACTGCCTGGATTGTGAGCCCATCAAGGAGGCGGATGACAGCACCGCTACTCCTTGATTCAGAGGATCCAGAGCTCAAGATAGCTTTCCTTGAGAAAGTTACAGGCTAAAGCTTTTCATAATGAATGCAGGAGCTGAGCATTAGCAGCTATTAGAAGCTCAAATCCTATGCAAGTCTTGAAATAAACTGTTAAAACAGATCTCTTGGTAAATTGAGAAGACATTATCACACAGAAGAGAATGAGCAAAACCCTAAGTATACTGGAAGCATGAGGTTTCCCTTGCTTAAGGAAGGACAAGAAGATTACAAAAATCCAAGCTCAGTATTACTTGTTTTCATAAAGTTTTGTCACCAAGTTATAATCAAGCAAACTAAGTAAAATCCATTCTCCAATTAAACAAACATTAACAATATAAACTCTTGCTAGCCTTATAACAGTGAGCTGTCTAGACAAGAACATCTTTCTCCAACTCACATCGCGTTTCTTTTTGTATGTACAAATATCCGGGGTAACCCAGAGGAAAAAGAGCCAACCTTGCATCTACTTCTGTGGACACACGGCCAGGTATCCTCTTCAATATTTCAGCTCCAAATAATACAAAAAGTTTGTCACAAGCATTTTTGATCTGCTCCTCTTCTGACCTGAAAACCACAAAGAGCAAAATCATTTCTGTGGGCAAGGGGGGAACCCCAGAGTGCATTCACACCTTGCCATGGATTTGAAGATCAAATTTCACAGCCCATTTAACATTAAATTCCAGAGTTCAAATAGCCACTTCTGCTCTGCTCCGTGTTTATGTTCTGCCCTCTGTGTTCCACCAGCAGTATGAGCCTTTGGACACTGTTTCCTATAATGCCGTCAACTCAAAGAGTGGTTTCCTAAAGCCACATGAGAGCTGGTAAATGGAGATGCGCTTCTTCAAAGCACATCTGAAACGAGCATAAGACATTTTTCTTTAAGAGTTGAGGCTTTTTGGGGCAGGAGACACACCTACGAGTACACGAGGGGAAAACCCCAGTACATTGCTAGTAGTACTAAATGCTGTTTGTATAAATGAGGCACCTTAAATATAGATCTACCGAGATAAAGAAACCTCTTCGCTTACCCGCCGAGTTTTTTCCCATAGGCAACAGCATCGTCCACAAGTTCCTGGTAAGCTGGCATCTGAGCTGCAGCTAGTATCAGAGATGGGTTTGTGGTGGCATCCAGGGGCTTGTACTCATCAATTGCTAGGGAAATAAAAATAGCCTGTTTAAAACAATCGGCAGGCCTGAGCGATTAAAAGGATTTTGCTGAAATATGTGATAACGTAAACACGGCTGTAGGACAGTAGCGTTCGTGACAGCGCAATGATGTTTAAATACCACAGCCTGAAAGCTGGCTTGTGCCAGAAGTACCAGAACAGGGTTAACAGAGCTACAGTAGTAAGATACAGCAAAGCTCACTCACTACTATAGACATTGCCCAAAAGAAATAAACCTGTAGCAGCGACAGGTGAAGAGAAGCGGTACTGTCAACTTCTCACATCTGTCCGTATCATATTCACTGGCATAGCTGAGTTCCAGGAATCACAGGGGGAAAGTAAAGACAAGGGGATCTTTCTTCCCTTCTAGCAGTTAGACTTTGGGGTTTTTGTTTGTCTACCAGCAGAACAGGAGAAAAACTCATCTGTTAGAAAAGTTGCTAGAGCATTACTGCATTGTAAAACCTTTTCAAACAGTTGCAGACCATTTCTTAGTATCTGTTCTTGTCATTTTCCTTGTACTACCAGGCTTCCTGCCTTGTGGAAGATATCTGAACCCTTGGCTTACCTTAAGCCCTGGACTACACCTATTTGAGGTGATACCAGTTGTTTACCAGCGCAGGCTGTGCCCATGCATTGTCTGGCCCTAATCACAGCTGAGCTGCCCGGCACGCAGAGCCTGACTCAGCAAAGGGGGAAGAGCCTCAGCAGGCCCTTCAGCAATTTCTGCTTACGAGCTGCTTGTTAACACAGCTAAACGTCAAAAATAACAAAATACTTATCGCCAGCTCATTTTCCTCAGTGTTTTTGCACAGGGATCAAAACCCAACTTGAAGAGTGCAACTTTTATTTTTTCAGTCATAGAAGAAAATGAGTATTGTTTTTCCATCGCTCCCTCCTAGGCTATGATCACGATCCTGGAGCAAGTCCATTCCGTACAAACAGGTCCTTCAAAACACATTTCAGTTCACATGGGAACTGCTTAAAATAAAGCAGTACACCAATCATAGAATAGAATCATAGAATCATCTAGGTTGGAAAAGACCTTTAAGATCATCCAGTCCAACCATTAACCTACACTACCAAGCCCACTCTAGACTAATCAAGGGTAGACCAGACTAAACCATATCCCGAAGTGCCACATCTACCCGTTTTTTAAACGCCTCCAGGGATGGTGACTCCACCACCTCTCTGGGCAGCCTGTTCCAATGCCTGACCACCCTTTCCGTAAAGAAATTTTTCCTAATTTCCAGTCTAAACCTCCCCTGGCGCAGCTTAAGCCCATTTCCTCTTGTCCTATCACTAGCTACTTGGGAGAAGAGACCAACACCCACCTCACTACAACCTCCTTTCAGGTAGTTGTAGAGAGCGATAAGGTCTCCCCTCAGCCTCCTCTTTTCCAGGCTAAACAACCCCAGTTCCCTCAGCCGCTCCTCATAAGACTTGTTCTCCAGACCCTTCACCAGCTTCGTTGCCCGCCTCTGAACACGCTCCAGCACCTCAATGTCTTTCTTGTAGTGAGGGGCCCAAAACTGGACACAGTATTCCAGGTGCGGCCTCACCAGCGCCGAGTACAGGGGGACAATCACCTCCGTACAGGGGGACAATCACCTCCAATGAAACTCGGTTCTGAAGCGTGGGCGCAATTTTAGAGAAGTCTGTTTTGACAGCGCTTATTACTCCTCTCCGGTCTTGCAGCGTTTGAAGACTCTTGCGGGTCTCTGGCAACGTGTAAATTAATCTCATTAAGCCGGTCACCCAGCTTTCCTCACCCAGCCTGTCACAAAGCAGTCAGCAGCCTGGGTTTTAGCTGGGCAGTACAAGCTTTCAGTGGGGGGGTCTGCGACCGTCGTGCCACCTTTCCTCATTGCTGAGCGCAAAGAAAGCCGGGCAAAAGACTAAGTATGTACCGGTCTGGCTTAGTTAAAAAGCAAAACTAGTGCAGCTACTAGAGAAGCCGCCACCGCTTACTGCACGTACTTCCCTCAAGAGCCATTCAAACCAGCATCCGTTCCTACACAGCACCGTACCGACGCGTTTATCTTTAAACAAAACTGGGAACCGGTGTTAGTAACAACTGCACCTTAACCAGCATCAGCGTTTAACGTGAAGAGGGAGGGAGTCAGATGTTCGCTGCGGCCTTGTTTGGACTGTAAGAAGGATCCGCAGGTGACAACAGGCAGCCAGAGATCAACTGCAAAACTGTTTCAAGGAGCTTGTTGAAACGTCCCAGCGGGCAGCGCTCGGCCTCCTTCCTGCCACCCGTGCACAGACACCCCCTCGACCATCGCAAGGATTTTTTTTTTTCCCCCCACTATGCTTTTTTGAAACCCAGGGTAGACAGCATAATGTTTTAAATTCACGCAATTTCAGCACACGCTGGGCTTTGGCCAGGTTTGTTGCTACTCAGAGGTACGTAAATCTGACAAGTTTGTCAGATTCTTCACAACCAGGTAATTTCACAACTCTGAAGTTACCTGGTCACTTGGTGTTTCCAGCTCCCTCGATGCAACGCTTGGTAAAGTTGCATCAATGCTCCACACCTTTCATGGTACAGCGGTTGTCTCTCACATCAGACAGACTCTTAAAGGCAAGTAACAGCTTCTCCCTAACGTTCCATGCAGCCTGACGCTTGGAATCGGGCAATCCAAAGCACTTAATGGATACACGCTACCTGGAGTCAGTGCAAGTCCGTAAATACCGGCGGACAGCATCACGAGGCACACGTCGGAGCTGTTGCTACCCCTGTGCACTCTTAACCTTAAATTTCCTCATATAAGACATTGGACGGTTGCCATTAAGGACCGTTTATGCATCACCTATAGGATTAGGTAGGCGGCAGACGGATTACCGCAGGTCTCAGCGACAGCAGAGCGGGATTCAAGAAGCATCGCTCTGCGCGACCGGGAGACCTTCGGGGAGGGATTTTTCAGTTCTGATGTACCAAGAAAGTCGCGTGCCTGTGCAGGCGCTCGGGCAGCGACAGCTTCGGAACAAGCGGCTTCATAATCCAACGCCACCTCCCTTCCTCGGAGAGTGCTTGCTCATCCTCATGAGACAAGGAAAACAAAAGCACTCTGGCATTATTTTCTTTGCTTCCGCCATTTGAAAAAAAAAAAAAAAAAAAAGAAAAACAACCCAGCAACCAAAAAACAAATCTAAACTGGTCATTGGAAAAAAAACCAACTTTGTTAGCCCAACAGAGCTTATCTTGTGGAGCCTGGTACTTGTTAGTAACAGCACACGGAGCCGAGCGTCGGGGTTTGCGCACGCTCTAGGTCAAAAATGGGGAAAAAAAAATTAAAAAAAAAAGGAAATAACGGGAGGGTCTGGCAAATGCACTACGTGCGCGGCAT